GGTATAACTGAGGATGATGGTTTAGGTATTACTGAGGATGATGGTTTAAGGTATTACTGGGGTGATGGTTTAAGGTATTACTGAGGATGATGGTTTAAGGTATTACTGAGGATGATGGTTTTGTATTACTGGGATGATGGTTTAGGTGTTACTGAGGATGATGGTTTAAGGTATTACTGAGGATGATGGTTTAAGGTGTTACTGAGGATGATGGTTTAAGGTATTACTGAGGATGATGGTTTAGGTATTACTGAGGATGATGGTTTAAGGTATTACTGAGGATGATGGTTTAAGGTATTACTGAGGATGATGGTTTAGTATTACTGAGGATGATGGTTTAAGGTATTACTGAGGATGATGGTTTAAGGTATTACTGAGGGTGATGGTTTGGAGTATTACTGGGGTGATGGTTTAAGGTATACTGAGGTGATGGTTTAGGTACTGAGGATGATGGTTTAAGGTATTACTGAGGGTGATGGTTTAAGGTATTACTGAGGATGATGGTTTTAAGGTATTACTGAGGATGATGGTTTAAGGTATTACTGAGGATGGTTTAGGTATTACTGAGGATGATGGTTTAAGGTGTTACTGAGGATGATGGTTTAGGTATTACTGAGGATGATGGTTTAGAGTATTACTGAGGATGATGGTTTAAGGTATTTTGGGATGATGGTTTAGGTATTACTGAGGGATGATGGTTAAAGGTATTACTGAGGATGATGGTTAAAGGTATTACTGGGGTGATGGTTTGAGGTATTACTGAGGTGATGGTTTAAGGTATTACTGAGGTGATGGTTTAGGTATTACAGAAGTGATGGTTTAAGGTATTACTGAGGATGATGGTTTAAGGTATTGCAGGTGATGGTTTGGTATTGAGGATGATGGTTTAGGTGTTACTGAGGATGATGGTTTATATTACTGAGGATGATGGTTTTAGTATTACTGAGGATGATGGTTTAAGGTATTACTGAGAATGATGGTTTAGGTATTACTGAGGATGATGGTTTAAGGTGTTACTGAGGATGATGGTTTAAGGTGTTACTGAGGATGATGGTTTAAGGTGTTACTGAGGATGATGGTTTTGGGTATTTAAGGGATGATGGTTTAAGGTATTACTGAGGATGATGGTTTAGGTATTACTGAGGATGATGGTTTAGGTATTACTAGGATGATGGTTTAAACGAATCTAAACCAACAACTAACCTACACTAACTGAATTTCATATCGTTATAATATTAGAAGTAAAAAAAACTAACCTCCTCTCATCCTGGTGAGACTCGAACCCGGATCCTGTTAGTATAAAGGAGAGGCGCTGTACCATAGCCACCAGGTATCGCTCCACGTCTTTTTTTGGGTTTGAGGACAAGGTCATTCGTCTTCCGGGATTCGAATCTGGGGACTAGCAAACTCAGTGTGTCCTTTGCTCATTACGCCATGTTGATGTTAGAATGAGATCACGTGAAGATTAAGCACCGACATAATTTTACTTAATAATTAAACACATTAACTCAACCTAGGTGGTTGGGTTAAATTTGACTAGGTTATTTGAATCATCGTAGGTATTTAAGCTCTTATTATGAAAGTTAAGAGATGGATAAGAGAGTAGTGGTCATGTTTCTGGTCAGGGTTAAAGGTTAGAAGTCGGTTATTGATGACAAATGACCTATGACTGAGAATAATAGGTCAAGGTGAAGATTATATTGCTGAAGTATTTTATGGTGGATCATAGGTAAATGATTACTTGACCCTTATTAGATGTTGTCGTTTATAAAGAGTGTTAGTTTAGAAGTTGTACCAAAAGTGAAAGGTGTACCGGTTGTCTTATTTATCATTTCATCATTATCCATCATCATCGTCGTTGCCGCCGCCGCCGCCACCACCACCACCACCACCACCACCACCACCACCACCATCATCACCACCATCATCGTCAACATTGGCAAGTGAAACTGTCCTTCCCCGCCCGCCCGCCCAGACAGGTAACAATAGCCGGACTGATAAGACTAGATAAGAACTAAGATAATTTGGACAGTACAATTCAGCTTTCCTGTGTTATAGTCTAGGTGAGGGTCACACACTACTACTATGCTGTCACTCGTAATCGAGTGTGACGACCACCAGCTATGATACAATGATATGAGTTATAAGGATTGTCACCTAGGTTGATGAGTTTGGGGTGACTAAAGAGCCGATGTGGGACCGGCAGAGTCGTTCACAGATGTTGCACATGTGGAGGGCTACATCTAGTGCGGAGGGGCGGCAGCGTTTTCCACATTGGCGCTTGTCTGCCTCGGTTTGCAGTCGGGCTAACTAGAAAGTACTGACACCTCGTGTGGTGGTCCTCCACGCTGACATAACGCTGCCACACTAGACGCATTAGACCACCCTGTGCCAACACACTGTACTGCTGGTGTTAATAGAGGGACAGATAAGATAAATAAAATTTTTTACTTAGATATAAAGATAAATATTGACAGCAGGTGTATGTAATAAGGCGTCCGGTAAAGATTAGAACATACTGATAGGCGACGCAGATAACAGCTCAAAATTATAATTTATAGTAAGTTCATATTACATGCAGTAGATATCTAAAAGTAGATATACGTAATACAAAAAAAATAGGCGGTATATTATAGTATTGAGTATATATATATATATATATATATATATATATATATATATATATATATATATATATATATATATATATATATATATATATATATATATATATATATATATAACTTGGTTGATGTTAATGTTGGGTAGAATATTTGTACTAAGTTGAATGTTGTTTATAATACTTAAATGTCTAAGGTCCATTAGTTTTAAGATATGTTAAATGTCCTCAGACACACGTACAGTACAGGCCAACATTTCTTATACCAGGTTGTTGGGGTTTTTTAAATTAGAAGACATTTATTGTATTCACTCTTGTTATATTGTTGACTTTTGTTGGAAGTGAGTGAGGCTGGAACTGTTGTTAACTGTGTCATGACCTTGACCTGACTTGACCTCTCCACGGAACACTCCTAACTCGTGCTCTTGTTTAGGTGAATATGTAAAGTTTCATTCAACTTTTATTCAGTAGTGTTTTGAAATATATATGTGGAGTGGTTAGAACACACACACACACACACACCCAGTTGCCAGATCTTCTACCATTGGCTTGGCTAAATACTGGACAAGTCATTAGGTATCCCAAGAGACGCATAAACCTGAGAGCTGCAACATAATAGTGCGTGTGTGTGTCGTCGTGTGTGTGTGTGTGTGTGTTGACCAAACACATCCTTCCAACATCCTTCACAACACCGCCCATTGTCCTTCACTATCAAATAAATATTCATTAAACTAAATTGTTTCACTATCATTAGATTAAGTATTATTGATTCATAGTTAATGGTGGTATCATTATTATTTGCCGTAGTAGTGTTTTATTATCATTTATAAAAGGTGAATAGATAAAACTTAATTATTTTTATCCGTCGTAATTTTATTTATTTATTTATTTTTCTAATGTGATCAGTACTTGGGTTGTACTCTTTATCGACTAGCTATTTATTTCTTGCTCCAGATGAAGATATTCTGTTCGGGTCCAGTTGGGTTAGGTTGGAGTGGGGTGGGGTTAGGAGGTTAGGTTAGGTGGGGTGAGTTAGGTTAGGTGGGGTGAGGTTAGGTTAGGTGGGGTGGGGTTAGGTTAGATTAGGTGGGGTGGGGTTAGGTTGGGTTAGATTAGGTTAGGTGGGGTGGGGTGGGGTTAGGTTGGGTGGGGTGTGGTGAGGTTAGGTTGGGTGGGGTGGGGTGAGGTGAGGTTAGGTGGGGTGGGGTTGGAAGGGTTGGGTTAGGTGGGACAGCAAGAAGACATTGACCCGGACAGTGTTGTTGTGGTCGCTTGTGTTTAGGTTGGCAGTGTGCCGGTGGAGAGCTCGGCCCGCTATCCCTGTCTCCCACCTTACACCATAATTATGAAGCCTTTGAGTGATGGGGTATTGATGTGTCTACTGTCCAGGGAACATTATGCCTCAGTAATGTTGATTCTCGCTTATTGTGTGTGTGTGTGTGTGTGTGTGTGTGTGTGTGTGTGTGTGTTTATCGACCTCTAAACTACTGTGGGTCGTTTAGATATACTGCTTCGATGGGGTGAGTTTGATACACGTACAGTACAGGTTTGATTGAGTTTATTTCCTGGCCTTCAACTACTATATTATGTCATTACAGGTCGAGGTGTTGTTATGGTGTTTCATGAGGATATTTTGTAGTTAGGTTAGAATTGGTTTGGTTAGGCTAGGTTAGAATTGGTTAGGTTAGATTAGAATTGGTTGGTTAGGTTAGGTTAGAATTGGTTTGGTTAGGTTAGAATGGTTAGGTTAGAATTGGTTAGGTTAGAATTGGTTTGGTTAGGTTGGGTTAGTATTGGTTAGGTTAGGTTAGAATTGGTTGGTTAGGTTAAATTGGTTGGTTAGGTTAGAATTGGTTGGTTAGGTTAGAATTGGTTTGGTTAGGTTTAGGTTAGATGGTTAGATTAGGTTAGAATTGGTTGGTTAGGTTAGAATTGGTTTGGTTAGGTTAGTATTGGTTAGGTTAGAATTGGTTGGTTAGGTTAGAATTGGTTGGTTAGGTTAGAATTGGTTGGTTAGGTTAGAATTGGTTGGTTAGGTTAGAATTGGTTGGTTAGGTTAGAATTGATTGGTCAGGTTAGAATTGGTTTGGTTAGGTTAGAATTGGTTTGGTTAGGTTAGGTTAGAATTGGTTTGGTTAGGTGAGGTTAGAATTGGTTTGGTTAGGTTAAAATTGGTTTTGGTTTGGCTTGGTTAGAATTGGTTAGGTTAGGTTTGTGGTTATTTACGGTAACAGGAGACTTGACTGCCACATCATGCGAGCCATAACTAAACAAAAATGAACTTCAATAGAATTTCAAGATCGTAAAATAAAGTTTGGGTGATTTTTTGTTTTCATGGCATAAATGTGGCGCCATCTTTGTTGTAGTGAGAGTTTAATCGATGGCTGACCACTCTACCGTCTACCGTACATCGCCCGTCTACCCGTACACCGCCCTGCCGTCTGCCGTATACCGCCCCATCTACACACCGCCCTACTCTCTACCCGTATACCGCCCTACCGTCTACCCGTATGCCCGCACACCCCCTACCGTCTACCCGCACCGCCCTACCGTCTACCCACCCAACCCTACCGTCTACCCACACACCGCCCTACCGTCTACCCGCACACCGCCCTACCGTCACCCGCACACCGCCCTACCGTCTACCCGCCACACCGCCTACCGTCTACCCACACCGCCCTACCGTCTACCGCACACCGCCCTACCGTCTACCCACACACCGCCCTACCGTCTACCCGCACACCGCCCTACCGTCTACCCGCACACCGCCCTACCGTCTACCGCACTGCCCTACCGTCTACCCGCCGCACGCCGCCTCACCGTCTACCCGCTCACCGTCTACCCGCACGCCGCCTCACCGTCTACCGCACGCCGCCTCACCGTCTACCCGCACCGCCTACCCGTCCAATCTCTAATGACAGAGAAAATGATTCCAGAAACTTCTGCTGATACCAACACAAAATACATACAGTACATGAGTTAATATTATGGTCGGTATTCCTGGTGTAAACGTATAAGCTATTGAACCTTATGATCATAGTCCCAGATAGTGCTATAATACGCCTGGTGTCTTTACTCAGATGGTTGAAGTTCCTCGGTTTTTGTGATTGTGGGTTGTACCTTGTGAGTGAAGAAGCCAAGATAGTGCTATAATATGGTTTTGATCTCTATGGTCGGTATTCGTGGTATTGTTTCTGGTGTGATGGGTCTTATGAACGTGGCCCAGATAGTGCTATACCACACCTGGTTAATTTACTACCCTGTTATAGTTGACCATACTTACCTCCACCTGAGCCTCATTAACTCTTAACAGCCTTTGTTAGTAGTTTGGCATCACCGAAGATTATCACTCTATTTAACCTAAAGATTAACCAGCCTGACGTTACCTGGGGTTAAGATAACTTAGAATAGGTTGTTATGGTAGGTTAGGTTAAAGTTAAAGTAGCCTTGAAGTTGGGTTAGTGTCAGGGTGGTTAGGTTAGGTTAGGTCAGGATCAGGTCAGGTCAGATCAGATCAGGTCAAGTTAAAATAGCTTGGGTTAACATCAGTGTGGTTAATAATAAGGTGAAATAAGGTTTAGGAGCACATTTTGGGTGATTTCCCTACCTTAACTTAAGACTTTACACCAATTAGGGTTAAAATTGACGAAAAAATCCCAAAAAGATTGTCTACCTGAAGTTAAACCACGTAGTTGAAAATGATATTCTAATTTTGATATATTTTTTACTTTATATCGACTAATTGAGATTGTGTAGTTAAGATTGTTGTTATAGAGTTGAGGTAATTGCATTAGTTGTTTTACTAAGTCAGTTAATGAGGAACGTCCTTACAGAGACCCTGCCAGGATCCTGGAGTACTACTGTGTGTGTGTGTGTGTGTGTGTGTGTGTGTAATAATAATAATAATAATAATAATAATAATAATAATACCACCAATCATATATAATAATAATAATAATAATAATAATTAACGGTTTATTGAAAGGAAGCTTGGCAGCCAGAAGGCTGAAAATATAATTACATATTTGGGGAATGGGTTTCGAATTACAAATAATATACAAGTAACATAAGTGACACAAATAAGATATATAATAACTAGATGGAAAAGCTCAAACTACAGTTCATTTCCAACATAGTGACAGTGCATGGAGTAGTGTACTGGGGAGTGAATACACTGGTTTATTACAAGTTATTGATATTTTTACAATGGTTGGGACTGGGCTGTTCTTATAGCGATCAGTTCGTGCACGTATGGGCTGAATGCGGTTGTGGTGTCGAACAGCAATTCTCGGACTAGGGATCTCAGGTGGTAGTAGGAGCCGGTGTCGGGGATGGTGTAAGCTTCTTACAAATTTGCAGGGTGTGGTGATGGTCAGTGAGAGTCGAAAGGGGGGTGTGTGTGTGTGTGTGTGTGTGTGGGCCCGCCCCACTATCTGCAGGGGTTCTGAAGAAGGGGATATAAAAGCAGTTCTATGGTACAGGAAGAGGTCAGGCTTCTCCTCTCTCTCTCTCTCTCTCTCTCAGGTAGCAGCAGCTGGGCCATCGCTATGATACAGTATCGACAGGTGGAGAGTGACTGAGGAGCATTACATATGAGGCTTTCTGAACCTGGCGTGGAGGGGAAGGTCACTTTCTTCGTATATTATCGCCTTTTCAGCACTTTCTTCTGCTTTCTGGTCATATTTACTTCTTTACAAGGCACTTCTACAGGACACTTTCGTAAGGCACTTTCACGAGCATGTTCTTGGCTTCAGATCATCATTTCCTCCTGAGCACTGCGCCAGTGGAGAGGGGGAGGGCGCTGGGATGTAAGGGGTGAGGGGTGTTGGCGCCACTAGTGCATTGGGCCTGGGCGTGTGTGTGTGTGTGTGTGTGTGTGTGTGTGTGTGTGTGTGTGTGTGTGTGTGAAGATAAGATATCAATTAAGATTATCGTGTTTGTCTGGTGGCTGGCTGTGTGGTCCTTCGTTGGTGGTTAAGTTTCTTGGTGTTGTGTGGTGGTTGTTGATGATGGTTAGTAGTGGTGGTAGTGATGGTTAGTAGTGTGGTAGTGATGTTTAGTAGTTGTGGTAGTGATGGTTAGTAGTGTGGTATTGATGGTTAGTAGTGGTGGTAGTGATGTTTAGTAGTGGTGGCATTGATATGTGCATTACTAGGCTACTAATACTACTATTCATACTACTACTATTTCTACATTTCAATATGGCCTCCAAACCTTCACCACCATTTTATTACCTAACTATCTTGATTCAATAATAACTACTGTAGCTGAGTTAGTTAAGCCGCAGATCTATGCAGCATTCAGTGTGTGTTGCCTCATAGTCAATATCTGTGACCGTTGTTGGCTTGGGGCCGAAGATCTCGTTCCCTGAAGTTAAAGCAATGCAGACCTAAGCAGAGGACAGTCCACATCTCAACCAGGTTTAGGTTAGGTTAGGGTAGGTTAGGTTAGTTTGGTTAGGAGTGGGTTAGGTGAGGTAGGTTAGGTTAGGTTAGGTGAGGTTAGGGTAGGTGAGGTTAGGTTAGGTTAGGTTAGGTTAGGGTAGGTTAGTTAGGTCAATATATAATGGGGTCGTCAGGGTTAATGAGCCTTTGTTGAGTGGGATATTGGAATACAGTAATATTGGTGATAATAACAATAATAATAATAACTAATAACAACAATAATACTAACGAGAGACAACCACCACCAAACATGTGTAACAAAGTTGCGCGCCGTCAGCACTCGATGATAACAGCTTTGAACAACATACAAGTTTACGGTACTAGGCGGGCACATATACTAGGGATGATACTGCTAGTTAAGATAGTGAGGGCGTGACCTGGGGGTAGAGGGGAGAAAAATGAAAGCTAGCTCTCTCTCTCTCTCTCTGTCTCTCTGTTAGGGATTAAGAGGAAAATGACTTCACAATCCCTTAATGACCTCGGTGTGTGTGTGTGGAGATGGGGGTAATTTGTTGTAGTTTTGGGAGTTAATTGCTTGTTCCCCTCAGGCTAACTACCGGAACTACTTTGTATAATAGCTAAAACTATCGTGTTTCTCGTTAGCCAGCAACCATTCTTCAATAACTAGGTCTTTAAGCGTGTTTCCCTTTAACATATACACTAGTTATTATTTGTATACTTGTATTGTTTGTATACCTGTACTGTCTTTACATTGTATACCTGTACTGTCTTTACATTGTATACCTGTACTCTATTTTTGCTGTGTGTGTGTGTGTGTGTGTATGTATGTATGTATGTATGTATGTATGTATGTATGTACAGTGTGGGTCCATGACAAAAACCCCACCGGACAAAAACCCACCGGACAAAAACCCACCGGACAAAACCCCACCGGACAAAACCCCACCTCTACCGGACAAACCCCATCTGTACTGTAACCTAACCTAACGTTAAATGCAATTTGTATGAAAAATAAAACGATCTATCTAGCTTCGACTGTACCCAGAGACTGCTGAAGGAAACCTGAAGTAGTGAACAAGGGTTCTATAGTTCGCCTCATGGTCATTAAACAGACCTGAGGGACCAGAGAATGTCACGGGTTCCTGAGGTCTCAAAAGGTGAGGACAGTAATGGTAGGTCTAATATCATTGTGGATTTGTAAGAAAATTTTTGAAAACTTAAAATAATTCTGTTTTATTTTTTACTATGAGATTTTATCCTGGGGTTTTGTCAGTGGGTTTTTGTCCGTATAGTGTGTGTGTGTGTGTGTGGGTGTGTGTTGATGACCTAGTGAGGCCCCGTGAGCTCAGTGCTTCAGGGTTCTATTGTACAGGTGATGTGGGGTGATTTAAGTCGCTGGGGAGGTTAGTGAGGAGGATGGGGAGGTTAATGAGGAGGATGGGAGGTTAGTGGGGAGATGTGGCCGCGGGCAGAGCTGGAAGACGACCTGGGGAGAGTGTTACTCTTCACTACTCCTACAATTCCCTCATCTCATCCCTCCCCATGACCTTCCCCTTCCCTCCCATCCCTACCCTCTCCTCATCCCTACCCTCTCCTCATCCCTACCCCTTCCCTCATCCCCTCCCTCATCCCCTACCCTCCCTCATCCCCTACCCCTCCCCACCTCCTTCCAGAGCGCGGTATCATCATTAGTCCTTCTCTTGCTCACTGTAAATGTGGATCATCTTAAGCTTAGTCTCCTCAGCTTATTTCGTCTTAGGTTAGTCTCCTCAGCTTATTTCGTCTTAAGGTTAGTCTCTCAGCTTATTCCGTCTTAAGGTTAGTCTTCTCAGCTTATTCCGTCTTAAGGTTAGTCTCCTCAGCTTATTTCGTCTTAAGGTTAGTCTCCTCAACTTATTCCGTCTTAAGGTTAGTCTCCTCAGCTTATTCCGTCTTAAGGTTAGTCACCTCAGCTTATTTCGTCTTAAGGTTAGTCTCTCCAGCTTATTTCGTCTTAAAGGTTAGTCTCCTCAGCTTATTCCGTCTTAAGGTTAGTCTCCTCAGCTTATTCCGTCTTAAGGTTAGTCTCCTCAGCTTATTTCTTCTTAAGGTTAGTCTCCTCAGCTTATTCCGTCTTAGGTTAGTCTCCTCAGCTTATTCCGTCTTAAGGTTAGTCTCCTCAACTTATTTCGTCTTAAGGTTAGTCTCCTCAGCTTATTCCGTCTTAAGGTTAGTCTCCTCAGCTTATTCCGTCTTAAGGTTAGTCTCCTCAGCTTATTTCGTCTTAAGGTTAGTCTCCTCAGCTTATTCCGTCTTAAGGTTAGTCTCAGCTTATTCCGTCTTAAGGTTAGTCTCAGCTTATTTCGTCTTGGGTTAGTCTCCTCAGCTTATTTCGTCTTAAGGTTAGTCTCCTCAGCTTATTCAGTCTTAAGGTTAGTCTCCTCAGCTTATTCCGTCTTAAGGTTAGTCTCCTCAGCTTATTCCGTCTTAAGTTTAGTCTCCCCAGCTTATTTAGTCTTGGAGTTAGTCTCCTCAGCTTATTCCGTCTTAAGGTTAGTCTCCTCAGCTTATTTCGTCTTAAGGTTAGTCTCCTCAACTT